AGATTGTGATGACCAGGGGAACATAGAGCTCGGGCGGCGGGGTCAAAATAGTCTTTTTCTCAAAGGCGAAAGTCCACGTGGCCAATCCCTCCCCGACAATGAGTGTGACCTTGAAGCTTTTGTACAGTAACAAAAGATCACCTTCCAAAACTGCAAATGTGATCGATTTTCCCGCATCGCTTATTGCCTCTATCTTCACCGTGGCAATCAATGGAATCCCACCTGTGTTTCGTGTTTGAAATGAGAACCAAAAATAAAATTGAGTAAACATGAATACTATATAATTATTAAATACCAAACAGATATGGTAATCAACTGAGCCGAGCCGAGCTCGAGCTTAGGCTTGTTAAGTAACCGAGCCTGAAATCGAGCTCGAGCCTTAAAGAACCGATCTCGAGTTTTAACGAGCCGAACTATAAGAAATCTATTTTCAAGCCTTAACGATCCTTATCGAGCCGAGCTGAGCTATTAACTAAACGAGCTTTAAATGAGCTCGAGCTCGGCTCGTTAAGGCCTCGAGCTCGAGCCGAACTAGGACCAAAACAAAGAATGCTCTAAAAATATGGGACTAAAGATGAATATTGAAAAGTTAGAGTAACAATAGTCTGACCAAGAATATACTTCCAGCGCTTGGTACAGCCAACCGTCCCCTCTTCTCCTTCGATAACCTCGGCGCCGGTAACGACTGCCGGACACACTTTGACGAGATCGTTCATGTTGAGCTTAAAAAAATTGTAGAATTTATCAGCTGGACATGTAATTGGTGCCTTGGCCACGAGGGTATCCACGGTGTTTGCCATTGCAAATAATAATTGAAATGGAGTTTATAACTAAATTTGATATTATCTTGATTTTGGTACGATTATTTTCCAACGCGAATCACATGGATTTATAGCTGCGATCCTGACGAGGGAAAATAATATTTAATTGTACACTTGGTTTTGCTGTTTCAGTGATGTAACCTTACAACCAAAACATGTCCATTATTGGGTTTAATTATTGAGATAATTAATGAGGCCCGGCATGCATATCCCAGCTAACGATTTGATATAATTATTTGGTTTCTAATTTCTCTAAGTTTTATTTGAAGTGATTGTGCAGACATCAATTATATAATTTGTTCGGATAAGGTCTTTTGTTCCATTATTCTAAGGAATGCATGAATGCAGACGGGCGCGCGCCCGGTGTTGCTCCTCGGGTGCTGCGGACAGGTGCAGGCGTGCGCGGTGTATGCACTGGCGCTTGGGACGAGCGCGCGCGGGGGAGAGGATGTGCTAGGTCGTTGGGTACCGGCCGGTCTCTTGGGCGCGGGTCTACCAAGAACTAACCGAGGAGATCGGCCGGGAACTCTCTGAGACTTTTCCAGCAAATTTTCTAGTGATTTTTGGGCGAATATTCCGGCGAAACGAATATTCCTACAAAATAAAAATAAAAAGAAAAATAAAACATACAAGACGTAAAACTGACACAAAAAATACAAAAACGACCTAAAATAACTAAATAAATCGAGAAAAGCCTAGAATAAAATAAAACAAACACAAATAAATCACATAAAAAGGAAAAATTGAAGATTTAGTCCTGTAATTGGCACCCATTTGAGATTTGGTCCTTTTAGATGCCCACTTTTGAATTATGTCCCGTAAGTGGCAAAAATCGTGATATGTGGTCCTCACACCTGCTATCGCAGGTAACCTTCACCGGGTAGCCTACGTGGAATTTTTACTTTTTTTTTTTTTTTGCTGAGTTGTATAATTACGTGGCAAATTGTGGCACATTCAAAAAATGATGAAAAATTTAAGCTAAGGAGATTCGAAACTGGGTGAATGGAGTCCAAAAGGCCTTTAGAGCCACTTGACCTAAGACAACTTATGAATAACATTTGACGTCAATTATATAACATAAGAATGTTTTATCCAAAAATAATATATATATATATATATCATTTTATTCAATTTATACTAATTTTAATTATAAAATTAATACATACTTTATTAAATTCATAATATATATTATTTAATTTTTTATTAATTAAATAAACATATACTAATAAATAAAAATATTAAATAATTTATTCAATATAAAATAATAAATAAATATAGTGAACAATATAGTATTATTTTTATATTTATTATATTCATAAATAAATATATTAAATAATAAATTATTATTTGTTATTAATATATATATATATTATTCAATTTACAATACTTTTAATTATAAAGTTATACATAATTTATTAAATAATATATTGATATTAATAAATTTTTTATATATTAATTAAATATTTACTAAATGAATAATATATTATGTAATTTATTATATAGTATTAATATATATATATATATATATAATAATATAATATTATTTTCTCATTTACTATTAATAAATAAATATAATATTATTTTTTATTTAAACAATAAATAATAAAATAAATACTAAATATAGTAAATAATAAATACTAAAATAAACTATAATTAAATAAAGTATACAATAAATAAATAAACTATAATATAAATTATTTTTTATTTTAGTAATTTTATTTAGTTTAAATTTGTAATTAATATATATTTCAAATTATAAAATACAATAAATAAATTTAGTATGACAAATCATTGAAAATAAAAGTAAAAAGATATTATATATATATATATTTAGTTTACTGATTTTCATTTTGTAATTAATACATATTTAATAAATTTTGTATTTAATTAATGAAAGGAAAATAAATAAATAAATAATAAATATAGTAATTTTTTTAATGAAATATTTATTATCAATTATTTATTTTTATTGCCTTATCTGATTTTTTTATATTTAATATACTGATTTATTAAATACTAGTGTGTATCCCGTGCGATGCACGGACGGGTTTTTTACTTAAAACTTTTTCTAAGACTTTATATTAAACATAGTTATTTATGTTAACATCTCATTATTGTAAGAAAACAAATACCAAATATGAAAAATTATATATTATTTATTTGAATATAATGAGTATCCCCAACCAAACTAATAACATCCAACATATGATATATGATAAAATTAATTATATGATCGTCATACTTTTTTAATATATATATATATATATATATATATATATATTTCTAATAAATACGATACATTTAATATCTGCATTTAAATTTGTATTTGGATATGAGATGAAAAATGAATATGTACAAAAAAAACTACCAAGAACCCACATAAAGTGTGATTCTTTGTAAACTTTAAAATATTTTGAGGTTAAGTAAATATTGACAAAAAAAATCATCAATTAAATTGAACTATCAAAATATAAAAAATAATTTATGATATCATTGACCATATTTACCCGTTGTATTTAGAGATATCATTGACCATATTCTTATGAATTATGGTTTACAAAATATCATTTTCAAAATAACAATTTTTTTAATTTGAATTTGAGTTTTTCATCTAGCCGCCATCTTCCACAAAAAAAAAAAAGTATTTTTGAAAATTTTAGACGTGAAAATCAAATAAAATTAATTTAATAGTAATCGATTAAATAAAAATTATTCAAAATTGTTTGATTCATTCATAACCAATTTTGATTGGGCTTATCAAAATTGTTTAATAGTATTCAAAATTGTTTGATTCAAATT